AGTTGTAATTATTGTTATTTGCAGTGTAAATTATTTAATCTGACTGGTAGCAGCTCTATAGTGTATATTGAATTTATTGATCAATTTTAATAATTTGACATGTAAGATGATGCATACATCTAAAAAGGTTAAAAATAGGTCTTTGTAAAGGTAAATATGCAGATTTAAGTATGTAAAAGCTGATAGAACACTGATGAAAATATTGCTTCAGAATAAATTTACTCCACCAAAAATCTGTGATTCAGTTATTTTTCGGGGATATTTTGTATGGAATATTGTCTGCTGATATGAAAAGTTCACTGTATATCGTAGTAATAAATACAATTTATTACAGCAATATTTTGTTTTCTTTTTAATTTATACACATTAAATATTACATATATGTATGTAATAAAATGTGTATTTCCATTACAGGTTTAGGTCTTAAATTTCATATAAGGTGGTATTAAAAAGGTCTTAAAAAGTCTTAAATTTAACTTGTTCATATCTGCAGAAACCCTGTATTACACATAGTGCATGATTCCTGTTCTCTTTCAGGTAAGGGCCGTGGGAAGAGAAGGAAGGGAGCGTCTCCTGTCCACCCACCACTTCTCCTCATCCAGGACCCTCTGACAGCACTGAACCGTCTGCAGGAGCGGGTTTCGTCTCTCCTGCGCCGTTCCAGACCCCCCTCTCCGCCAACACCAACTCTTTCCACCTCCGCGCTCCCTCTTCATCCTCAAGCCCCCCTCTGGGACAAAAGTGCCCTTCATGGAGGAGGACCAGATGCAGTTTCAGAGTTTTACACCTCAGAACTAAGCAACTTCATGCAGCCATGGGTTGCACTGGAGGTGAGATAGTTACTTTCTTCATAAATTCACCTTGTCTTATTATGACATAATTCAACAGAGTGCATTATTTTAGACAAAAATTCTACATGAATTTTTTTATCAAAATGTAGCAACTGTAAAAATTGGACTTTAATAAAAACATAAAACCACATTCCACATGCTGCATTTTATAATGTACAGTAGTACCGATCATTAGTTCAAAAATAAATATGTAAATATTAAAAAGGAGACATATTGTAATTTGTCAGAAAATATTTTATAAAATATACGTGCTAAAAAAATTTCACTACATAATTTGCAATACAAAAATTGCTTTAAAAGTATCCATGACAACTATAAATTAATGTTTTTTACTGATTAATTTTTTTGGACTTTCTTAATAAATTCTCGTTGTGCTATTGTGTACAATTCACCAGTGTGTGCTATTTCAAGTTGTGAAATAGCACAACTATTAAGGGGGTTAACAACGCCCCTTAGCTGTTATAAATTCACTGTAAACCACGGCTTCACAGGGCTTATTGCTTTAATATAAAATAGTGCAAAACAATAGCTAGGAATTTAGAAAATTGAAAGAGATGAGTTTAGTTGTATACTTTAAGCCCAGTGCACACTGCGATTTTGGCCACGATTTGGTCGTCCGAGTCAAATTTTGAAAATCCTAAAAGATTCCTATAATCCTTGGCTAAAATCTGTAGTCTTTGATCGCTGGTTTGACATGTTCACCGACAGCCGATTACTGGCCGTTGCGATCAAATTTGAGCACTGACAAAATTCTGGCAGCGTCACAAGATTTGGTGCACAGTCCTGCAATGTGACGACGTCTTCGTTTTTCAAGACAAGCCATGAACAGAATTTATGCTTTCTTCTAGCCGCCAGAAACTCCGGCGCTCTCGTCCTCCGCTCACGGAATTCCTATGATATGTTGCCTTTGCTCTGATAAACACCGGTTGTGCCGCTGTTTTCATTTGGGTGTGTAGTGCTGCTTACACTATTCTTCTTAAATATGCCGCCGTTCATATACTTTTAATGATAGCCAACATCAGCCCTGCGTGTAATGCAGCTCAGTCACTGAACGTGTGTGGGTTGATAATGTAAAACTCCAGACAAGTTTTCTTACGCACTCCCGTTTCGTACAGTCTGACATTAATGACAACTGAGATCCCACAGTGTGACATGATCATCATGTTCATACAGTCTGACAAGTAACAATCGTAAAGGACTATTAAAAATGTTCTCTGACAATGTTTTCGATTGGGTCCATCAGAAGTTAGTGTGTCAGAAAATATTTTAAGAAAGAAGTTTCTTATGCTTACCAAGGCTGGGTTTATTATTTAATCAAAAACAGTAATAATTGTAAAATATTATTACAATTTAAAATAACTTTTCTATTTGACAATATTTTTTTTTTTTATGCAATGCAAAGCTGAATTTTCAGCAGCCATTACTCCAGTCTTCAGTGTGATACTTTTTATTTGTCGGAATTCTTTGATGAATAGAAAGTTTGTATTTCTCACTGAATATTTTGTTTCATAGAAGTTAAAGTTACCCAGAAGTTAAAGGCGTTGTGGGTGCTGATGCTTAGTCTTTTTACATTATTACTTCAGAGAGAAAAGGTCAAGTCTCTTGAAGTAACTCCAGTCAAGAAATTTCCAGCTGAGGCTGATTCAGTCCAGGAAAAGCTTTCAGATCAGAGCCCAGCACAACACCAGACTAGCCGTCCTCTCACCCCCTGTCCGGGTACACCAGGCACCCAGGCTCTGCAGGACCTGATGGAGCTTGCAGAGGAAGGCATGACCCTCACCCAGTATGAATACACAACGTACACGGCTGCAGGGTACAAGTCAGGTAATATTGCTATTCTGTCGCAAGAAGACATCTTTTTTTTTTGTATCAGGCTCACATTCTCCCATGTTCTTTAGTTAAAGACAATGCTGTGAATGAACTTCCCTCAAGTGGTTTTGTTCCAGAGACAAATGGCAACAAGATGCCCAAGAAAACCCCAGTAAGAATTTCCTTCAGTTGTATCCATCTGTACTCACTTGTGATTGGATATGAATGAATTGGAATGAACATCCATATTTTTGCAATGTCCATTTTTGTGTTTTTCAGGTGTACGTTTCAAAGCTAGCATCAGATATGAGCAGCATGGTGAACAACCCTCAACTCAGTGATGTGCAGTTACAGGTGGACAGCGGGGACGTTTTCTTCACGCACTTGTTTATGCTGTACACACGATGCCCCCTGCTGGCCAACTTGGTAAGTGTATCTCTATCGCTGATGCCACAAGCATAAACTAATAATCAAGAAGTGCAGACGAATAACCAATTACCATGTGTTTGTAGGTTCACGACTCAGGTTTTGGTGTTCAGGAGGAGGGTATGCCTGTCTCTCAGAGGGTGTTGTTGGATAATGTGCTTGGGGAGGCAGTACTGGCCCTCCTGCAGTACCTTTACACAGCCCACTGTCCTCTGACACACACACTACTACCCCACATACAGGAGCTTGCTGATAGGTCAGTGTGATGATTCTTATGATGTGGTTCAAATATTAAAATTATTTCCCAATAGGGGTGTTAATGGTACACACATTCATGTCAGCCTTGGTATAACCACTGCACGAGTGGAACTTCATTCTATTTTTACTTTTAATAAGAAACAAAGTCTCATCTTTCAAATTATGTAAATTTTTTTCAGGAAATTTAAACATTAAAAGCCGTTTTGGCGCTCTTTGATGTGGCGCGACAGATCGCTGTATAAACGCCTCAGTTCAAACGGTAGTGCAGAGCATGATCGTCCCTTCCTCTTTACAACTAGTTTTAATGCGAAATAAACATGAATGAACATTTCATGTAATCGCTGAATTAGTGCTTCAACCGTGGAAAGACGTCAATAGAACAGTTTGTAAAAAAAAAAAAAAAGTCACATAGCATTTCATTTACCTCAGGCAAGTCATCAGTGTCCACAGCTCGTTAGTTTACTAGAGAAATGAAGTCTAGAGTAGAAAATTCGCAAAATATTAGACTTTATACTCATTATATTTTACTTTACCTGTTAGTGATGTCTTAATTATTTAATGTTTAAATAAATCTGTTAAGAAACAAGTTATGACATCCACTGTGTAAATTAATATATTTCAGCAACAAATAGAAATTTTTATTTACTTCAAATTTAATTTTTTAAATTTTAAAGTTAATTTACAAACTGCATTATGTGCCATTTACATGATTGCATACAATCCAAAATTTTTTTGTAAATCTTGATTATATTTAAAAATAAATAACTGAATTTAAGTTTGGGCTCTGTTGTTAATTGTAACCTTAGTAATGTAAAAGGGCTCCGTATAGTTTAGACCATAACCTGAGGTAGATTTTTATCCCTAAGAAAATTTTGATTATAATTGAATTTATTTAAAGAGAGCAATTTGTTTAGTAAACCACTGTTTAATAAAAAAAGAAGCAATTTTATGTATAGTTTTTTCCCCCTGCTCTACTGAAATCATACTGAACTGTGACGTCAAAACAGAGGTACGTACTGAACTGTCATGTTTGTGTACTGTTACACCCCTATTTCCCAACCCCACTAGATATCAATTCTAACTCTTATAATTCTAAGGTAGTAAAAGATGTTATATTTCAGGTTTGGTTTGGCTGAGCTGCAGCAGGAGTGTGAGGAATATTCTGGAAGTGTGGGGGAAAACCCAAGAGAGGAATCTGAACCTGAGCCTCATCTCGGGGACCAAGAAGACCAGAACTTAGCAGAAAGCAACTTCTTGGAGCTCCTCCAATCAATGTGGCAGCACAGGGACTGCGAAGAAGAGGATGATTTCAAAGAGACTGCTGTAGAGGAAAGAGACATGGAAGAGGAGCAAGAGAGAGAAGATGGAGAAAAAGAGGACCGGGTGGATGAGGAAGAGCTTGACGAGATCTATGAGTTTGCAGCAACACAAAGGAAGATAGAGACGACGTTGAAAGCTGCGACCGAGACCGAAGAAGAGGGAGAGGCAAATACACCCCTCGGAAATGAGAAGAAGGATGAGACAGAAGACAGGAACGAGACAGAATCCCTCTTAGAGAAATCTGCCGGCAGTTGCCATAGTAGCAAACAAGGCGTGGATGGGATGGAGGCTGCCATGGTAACAAGTCCAACAGAAGAAACCCTTAAAAACCCCAATTCGGAGACTGAGAGAGTTTGTTTGATTTCAGAATTAGATGAAAACGGAGACCCGGATGCCAGTCTAGACAAGAGCTATGACCGTTTATTCTCCCAGTCTGTAGGGGAATACATGGAACCGTCACAGACGCCAGCGTCCTGCTCTCAGCATCAACGTAACAAGCCATCGCACACACTACAGCAAAACACGCCCGCCCCGTTTCGCCCTTCATGTGTTAGTGAGGTGATCGACCTGTCTATAAGCCCTCCACCAAGCTCAGGTGTGTTAGGTGAGACTAACTTCCCCATGCCTGGAGTGTCTCCTGTTCCTCATGAGGGTGAACATACAGGCAAATCTCCACTAACAAAAGACAATTCAGTATGCCAGAAAATCAAAAACCTCGCTTCTCCTCCAGAATCTCAAAGCAAACAGGTTGAGCTCATTGTTCTCTCAGATTCTGGTGATGAAATGGATGTAGACAGCGGCCGCAATGCTGCTACCACTAAATGTGCTTTGACTCCTCAGTCTCCTTTCGAATCTCCCTCAGAACCTCTTCAGACGTCCACAAGCTATGCTTGCAAAGTCACAGAGAACAGTTTCAAAGAATCTGGATCCCAAGGCCATGCCGGCAAACGGGTAGATGCTTCCAAGCAGGTGTCGACTGATACAGAAGCCAGATCTGACCGATCAGCGCACTGTAGCCCCGGGATTGCAAATGAAAGTGTGTTTGATGGCTCTGCCGAGGTTTCATGGCTGATTCCAGCCACTCCGGTACCATCCACACGCTGTAGCTCTGCCCAGACCTGCATCAGCATGCGCCGAACCCAACTCTTCCCCAAGTCATCGTCCTCCTCTTCCTCTTCCTCTGTCTCGGGTGGTTTGAAACCTGCTAGCTTTGATTCTTCAAGCAGCAGCTGCATAAAAGAGAAGCCGGTATCCTTGTCTGAATTGCCCAAATCAGATCTGAGTCCTTCTAAAGAACGTCATAGCACTGATACAGGTCGCTCTCCAGGTTATCAGAGACCACTTCACCATCTGAGACTGTCTCAGGTTCCTTCTACAGATGTTTCTGATGGCTCCCACATTGGCAGCATCATGGGACATCCAACCCAGGGTGTCTCCAAGCCCTCAAGTAGCACTCCTCTCCATTCAGACTCTTCCTTACACCGTCAGATCCCGTTTGGCTTCCCTGTGGTTGATGACTGTGAGGTTCGTCTTAGGGATAGTATAGGTAATTCTAGATCCTTCAGTATTCAGGGACAAATTGGCTTAATGTCTCTACAACAGAGTTCTTCTTCCCCTAGTAAGACACCTGAGAAAAAGCACAGTAGCTCTCTTGAGCAGGGATGCTCCAGTCCGTCCCCGAACTCTCAAAGCTACAGTCGTCCAGAAAGATGGACAAAGAGAGAGAACGATGGGGTAGAGCGAATGGAATTGGGAGAGAATCCAAATCAAAGTGATGAAGAATTGGTGGATATTGCGGGAAACTCATTCAGTGACATGGATGAGCCTGGGAGAGTGGGAGAAGAGAATCAAAATCAAAGTGTCGATGAAGTGACGGGTATTTCAGGAAACTCATTTTGTGGCATGGACGAGCCTCCTATAGCGTTTGATGACTCCTGGGGTTTGGATGGAGGAGTTGGAAGCCAGAAGCCCTGCTTTAGTCTACGGCTTGACAGCAGCGGAGGTACAGTCAGTCCACCAGGTCTCGAGGGTAAGGGACCAACGTCCATGTCTCCTCTTGCATCTGGAGCTTGTACCAAAATTCCTGATCCAAGTCCAGGTCCATTTAATCACAGCCTACCTGATCCTGACATGTGGGATGATTGTGAAGAAGAGGAGGTGGCTTCCCTTCCTCTTTCTCAGAGATTGACAGCTCCCTCTGCCAAGAGAGTTGCCGAATTAAAGACTCCCGGTAAGACAAGTTGTCCTCCTTGGTATGTTAATTATGTTTAGCAGGAGCCCGGAACTCTAGATCTGTTAATTATGCATTGCATTTAGAAAGACCTTTTTGTTTTAGAAAACTTTCTTAAAAAATCAGCTTTAACTTTCTTCACAGTTGCTTGCAAAAAGAGGAATAAAGGAGCGCTGGTGCCCATCACTCCCATGCCAGGCTTTTCCAATATGGACACACCAGAGCTCAAAAACAGACTCAACAGGTGAGCATAAAAAGAAGATATAGGCATTATAATGTTTAAAACATTTATTACTGCCATTGCATATCACAATAACAAACCAACAAACTATCTAAAAGCTACCTTTCAATGACTTTTAACTACCTGGTCACAGATTCATTTTTAGTGCATGTTTAAGTTAGTTCTCCTCAGGGAGTTCAGTAGCAAAGCAAGTTCTTAAGTTTTTTTGCATAGTTTAAATGCTTTGTCTTCATTTTGAGTTAATGTATCAGTGGTTTTATAATGTAAACTGTGAAATGGTTTGCTGTAACACATTTTTTAATTGTAAGTGTAGTGATTTTTAAGAAATACAAATGTTTATCAAAATGTGATTATCACATTACAGAAAGTTAAAATGTACTTTATACATTTTATTTTTGATCCCTAAGGCCTGGCTGTTTTCTGTTGTAGGCATTAAGCATCATGTTTTCTTAATTATTCTGCGGAAGTTAAAATATTTAATACTTAATATTCATATATCTTATAATCAAAATCTTTCTCCATCTAATACTCCCTTACATTGACAGTGGGGTATTATGAAATTAGTTTAGACCAAATTAACTTTACATAAAGCTTAAGCATTCACAGTATTCAACATGCAAATGAGAATCAAATCCAGATGTGTCTGTTGTGTAACTCCAGCGTCACAAAGCCAAAGAAACACATTCAGTAACACATTTTTTTTGTCCAGGTTCGGCGTGCGTCCGCTGCCCAAGAAGCAGATGGTTCTGAAGCTGAGAGAGATCCATCAATACACCCACCAGCTGCAGAGCTCAGAGTCAGAGGAGGAGACCTCTGGACCCCAACGCCCACCGAATGCCTCGAACTCCCAGTCTGCTCCGCTCTCCTTTAAGCAGCCTGCAGCGCCCCCTGCTGTCTCACCCGTGAAACTGCCACCAAGTGAAGAAGATGAGCTTTTATCAGCCTCTCAAAACTCAAATACATCCTCCACTGCAGAGTCTGACAGGTACAGCTCTTACACGACTATATACATAATACTACAAGGAAACGTAGTTCAACCCATTTCTTTTTCCCAGGTCGAACCCAGAGCTGTGTGTGTCCGAAGACGACGACTCGGACAGCGAGGGCATCACGGCGTCTCAGGCTGTTGTGCGTGAGAAGGACAAACTCCTCGCAGTTCGTCAGTTTATCCGATCCGACCCCAAGCTGTACACGCGAGTGCTGCAGTACCAGCCTCTCTCCCTGGCGGAGCTGCGGTCCAGCTTGAAAGCAGCGGGTATCAGGTTAGGTGCTGCTAAACTACTAGACTTCCTGGACTCTCAGTGCATTACTTTCAGTACGGCCAAACAGGGCCAGAATGCATCTTCCCGCAGGAAACGACGTGTGAAAACGACAACCAGTGGTGGTGCAGCCGGAAGAGGAAGGAGAAAAGCAGCTAAGCCCAATGGAGGAGTTGCAATAAAATAATGTGGTTAAACTAAATGATTTGAAGTATAAGCTGTTAAAGGACAATAATGGATTTCATCTTTTCAACTAAACAAATGTGACACACTCCGTGTGTCACTATTCCAGTGACAGTATTGAAACTAACTAAAATGCATTTGTTTGTTTGTTTTTGTTTTTTTTTGTACAATTTTTGAAATGAAAATATTATTTTTTTAAATGAATTCAATTTAATGTCTGGATAATGTAATTAAGAGACATCTCTTAATGTGTCACATGTTTGTATACAAGAATAGGTTCATTTTAAGCCGTTTAATATTGTGAATTTCATCCAATAGTTTTAGAGATTTCTTAAACCTAAATGTGGCTCTCAAACAAACTTCTTGCCAAAAAAAAAAACAAAAGTTGCCAAAACGGTCAAATGTGGAGTCAACCAATTTTTCATGAATAAAATTAAAGATTGAAAAAACAATCAACAACAATCAACAAAACAATTTTGCATTGTGACAATATTTTTTCATGACAAACAAGTATATTTCACACAACTAACATTAGCCTGTAATGCAAAAAAAAAAAGAAAAGCAGCTAAGCCCAATGGAGGAGTTGCAATAAAATAATGTGGTTAAACTAAATGATTTGAAGTATAAGCTGTTAAAGGACAATAATGGATTTCATCTTTTCAACTAAACAAATGTGACACACTCCGTGTGTCACTATTCCAGTGACAGGATTGAAACTAACTAAAATGCATTTGTTTGTTTTTGTTTTTTTTTGTACAATTTTTGAAATGAAAATATTATTTTTTTAAATGAATTCAATTTAATGTCTGGATAATGTAATTAAGAGACATCTCTTAATGTGTCACATGTTTGTATACAAGAATAGGTTCATTTTAAGCCGTTTAATATTGTGAATTTCATCCAATAGTTTTAGAGATTTCTTAAACCTAAATGTGGCTCTCAAACAAACTTCTTGCCAAAAAAAACAACAAAAGTTGCCAAAACGGTCAAATGTGGAGTCAACCAATTTTTCATGAATAAAATTAAAGATTGAAAAAACAATCAACAACAATCAACAAAACAATTTTGCATTGTGACAATATTTTTTCATGACAAACAAGTATATTTCACACAACTAACATTAGCCTGTAATGCAAAAAAAAAAAAATATTACTATATATAATTACATATGTATCCAGAAATTATTTTTATTGTATCACAATAAGAATTTTTTCACTTGTACTTAATTACTTAAAAAAAAAAATCAATGCAAAAATTATAAAATAAAATTATAGAAATTAATACATAAAATATGACCCATAAATATCTTTGCACCCCATGATATCAAAACGTGACCAACACTGAAAAAAAATCACATACCAAAGATGTCTTGAAAAACTTTTATAACATCACTTTTTTGCAAAGATCTGCTGAGAAAAACAGACATCTCCCATTCTAACAAAGAAATCATCTTCCGTGTGCATGAGAGAGAGTCTGGGTCCGGCTGGGCAAACAGTTCCACAGGAAGGGTGGAATTCATACAGTGTGCAGATCTCTCGCCTGATCACCTGAGCTCATCAGGAGAGTCCGGCTGCACTGCCTCAGTCTGGACCGGTCAGCCACATCTCCTCATGCCCCATCATGCACCTGTCATGACAGGTTGGCAATGTTGGCCAGAAAACGCTGGGCCCACCACTCCTCGAGATCAATAGGCACAAAATCTGAAAAACAGAGAAACTGGGTGAGTTCTTTGAGATCGTATCATATTTTAATTAAACGGCAGCACACAAAATATATGGACTTTTTTTTCTTTTGTAGTGTGGAAGCAGCTTTTCTTCACAACAGATCCTTTTGTGCTCCAGAAACATTAATAGGGTGAGAGTAAATTAAAAAAAAATTTATTTTTAAATGAATAATTTGAATTTGTGTATTCTAGAGGCCTTCAAAATAGAGAACAAGTCGGCAAAAAAGAGGCATCAGGTCTCGTCTGCGGTTAAAGAAAGTAATCAGGACAGTAGTCCCAGACTGACTCTTCATGCCGGGATTGGGGCTTCGCTCCGCGTACTGCACCGGGCCTTTCCTGTTCTCCGGCTGGGATCCCTCTCCGAGCTTCTGTTCCACCTCCTGCCAAGCTGCAATCATAAGATATTGTATCAGTATAAAATTACAAATTATATATACAGTGAAAAAATATAATATACAATTAACTAGTTCGTTATGCTTTGCTAAAGTAGTTTATCATGTAGTCCTCGGTCCTGGAGGGCCGGTGTCCTGCAGGGTTTAGCTCCAACCCTAATTAAACACTCCTGAACCAACTAATCAAGCTCTTACTAGGCATACTAGAAACTTAAAGGCAGGTGTGTTGAGGCAAGTTGGAGCTAAACTCTGTAGGACACCGGCCCTTCAGTACCGAGTTCGGAGACCCCATATGTAGTCTATATCATGGTTTCTGTGGATCTTAAAGCTCTTTATTCAATCTTCCACAAATGAGGGCCTTAAATCAGAACATAAAGTCTATAATTCATAGTCATGGCATTAAATGTTGCATGCATTGCAAAAAAAACAAAACGGTACAAATATCTAAACATCCTTAAATCAAGATACATTTACTTGAGATGCAAAATGAAGTCTTGTAGAACTCGTATCTGTCAGTGGCGTATGAAACTTGTTTTCCCTTTGAATTAAGTTGCTACGCCCACTGGCAGATATTTGTTTTTGTTTTAAACTCGATTCATTTTGATCAATTTATCATAAAACAAGACTTGCTATTGTGTGTCATTTTGCAGTGTCATGAGAAGATAGTTTAAGTTATTTTTATACCATAAATGTGCTTTTTTGTAAAGCGAGTACAAAAAAAAAAAAGTTACGGAAATCTGTAGGAAGCTGTCATTCAAACTTTAAAGTGTTGCTAATTCATTGTGCTTTCTAGACATTTACATTCAGAAAATCCATTGACGTATTATGCTCCTTACGTTTTCTTTAACTGGTCTTAAAAGGCTCTTGGAAAAAGTCTTGCATATATCGTCATAACATCTGCAGAAACTCTTTATATATTGCTCTCATGTAGATTCAAATTGGCAAGTCATGGTGATTTGTTAGTGAATCATTCATTTGAGTTGATTCTTTTCAATGAATGGCTTATTGTGAAGCCTGAGCGATTCATTTGTGAACAAGTCTGTGTCTGAATGTCTTTTCAAATCCTACAAACGAAACAGACATGTTTTGTCCTAATTTGCATCGAGTCCCAAAATGCTACTTGTGAAAACACTACAGATGCGATGTATCTCAACAAAAGAACAGTTTAGATCTAGAAAAACATGATCTTCTCATTGGCAACTTGGCAGAAGTAAAAACTTCTGGACACCTTTTACCAATTATAATTGCTTCCTCTACACTCCCTAAACCGGTTGCAAGATTGTACCAGATCGCACGGCTCTCTTCTATTGACCGTGAAGCAGTTTTAGAAAACATTAAGCCTGGACTAGCCTGTCATTGTACAAAAGAGCCTAAAAACTGCCCTTGAGGGCCATTGCATCAACCGCTGGAGGTGGAGCCTGGCCTGCACACAAACGCCCTCCTCCTGAAGATAAGAACTGGCCTTTTTCACACAAACTCTGGTGAACTTGCCTCCCCAAGTACATTTATGAGAGTCTGAACCCTAGTCATTCACAACTTTAGTTTGCACATGATTAAACTCTTGGACTTTAATAAAGAATCAGACCAGCTGCAAAGTTACTTGAGAGCCTTGAATCCAGTTGGTTGCTCTTCAAAGTTCATTAAGGTCATGGCAACTACTTGCCCCAACCGTGGCCCTCCTCAAGGTCTTAGTGGTGACGGATAAAACAGTACTGGTGTTCTGGAAAATGAACTCGCCTTCATAAACAAACCGAACATTTTCCTCGTGTGCCGGGGTGAATCCCTCAGTAGTAGTTTCAGCATTTGGAGAGGTTGATCTGTGGAACCGCTTTCCGTTCAGCCGGTGAAATACAATCTTAGGCGCTGGTGAACTGCAAACAATAGATCAATATGGGTTTTCAGTAATAAGTTCTTGGATTTTTACATTTGGTCTCCTTTAATCAATTCCTACTCCTTTTTGCAGTGCATTCATCTCTCATTTACATAGTTTCAGTTTAAATAAAGGAATTGTATATTCATTGAAAAAAAACAAAAAAAACATTCACATGCATTACGTGGAAAAGAGTACATTCTTTAACATGTAAAAATATTCATAGCGGATTCTAACGACTAAACGCGCATTTTTTGGGGGGTGAACTGTTCCTTTAATTCTAAATAACGTGACTTCCTCCCTTACGCCACGTCGTTTCTATAGTAACAGCGACGCGTTATGAAACCGGTTTGTTTATTATATCAGCATGAAATCTCAAACACGCGAATGACAGACACAAACGCGACGCCTGTCGTCAAATGTTCCGCGACACGTTCTCCAGCCTAGAAAGCAGCACAACGTCCTTGTGGGAGTATGGTTGTATATCAGGGAGTGTGACAAGCAAGTGTTCGCATTACAATAGAACCCCAAAAGAGTAGTTACTAACAGATACAGGAATACATACGAATACGAATACAAGGACACAGTCTTCAAACACGCCGACAATCCACGCGCTACACTTGCAAGGTCACACGGCGCAAGCGACTTCGGTAAAAGCGTTAAAACGGGACGTCCTGGTTTACAAACGAGGCCAACTTCTTCGCTACGGATACTTTTAAGTGTGCTAAGCTTATAAACGAGACGGGGACGCTGGGGCGTGTTTAAAGGCGCAGTTAAATCCTTTTCCGAGTTCCCCTCAGCGACCAAACTCGCGTGAATATTATCTGTTATTATCACTCACTCCGATTCAAGCCAGTGGCCTTGCTTCTGTTTCAGGTCGTTCGCTTTGCTCTCAATCTGTTGCGTAGGGCCTGCAAGAAACAATATCTGTTAATACGTAACGCCAATAACCATATTAAATAGAAGCACGTGGTTATTCTTAAATATCTACTACTATAATAGCGTTAAATAAATGCACCATCCATATTGTGACCTGATGTGTAACGTTATGCACGCTGGTTAAATTGTACCTGTTCTCCGTTGTGTCACAAGTTTGCTGGGACCTCTGGTTATTGTGTACATCATGTGAGAGACGGTCTCT